CAAACAACGATCAATAATGACTGAGGTTCAAACAACGATCAATAATGACTGAGGTTCAAACAACGATCAATAATGACTGAGGTTCAAACAACGATCAATAATGACTGAGGTTCAAACAACGATCAATAATGACTGAGGTTCAAACAACAATCAATAATGACTGAGGTTCAAACAACGATCAATAATGACTGAGGTTCAAACAACGATCAATAATGACTGAGGTTCAAACAACGATCAATAATGACTGAGGTTCAAAAAACGATCAATAATGACTGAGGTTCAAACAACGATCAATAATGACTGAGGTTCAAACAACGATCAATAATGACTAAGGTTCAAACAACGATCAATAATGACTGAGGTTCAAACAACGATCAATAATGACTGAGGTTCAAACAACGATCAATAATGACTGAGGTTCAAAAAACGATCAATAATAACTGAGGTTCAAACAACGATCAATAATGACTGAGGTTCAAACAACGATCAATAATGACTGAGGTTCAAACAACGATCAATAATGACTGAGAGCAGTAAGACAAGAGAGAGAGGGGTAGGTGGATTGCATATTCTTGGACTGCAAGAAGGCGTTTGATACAGTTCCACACAAGAGATTGGTGCAAAAACTGGAGGACCAAGCAGGGATAACAGGGAAGGCACTACAATGGATCAGGGAATACTTGTCAGGAAGACAGCAGCGAGTCATCGTACGTGGCGAGGTGTCAGAGTGGGCACCTGTGACCAGCGGGGTCCCACAGGGGTCAGTCCTAAGACCAGTGCTGTTTCTGGTATTTGTGAACGACATGACGGAAGGAATAGACTCTGAGGTGTCCCTGTTTGCAGATGACGTGAAGTTGATGAGAAGAATTCACTCGATCGAAGACCAGGCAGAACTACAAAGGGATCTGGACAGGCTGCAGACTTGGTCCAGCAATTGGCTCCTGGAGTTCAATCCCACCAAGTGCAAAGTCATGAAGATTGGGAAGGGCAAAGAAGACCGCAGACGGAGTACAGTCTAGGGGGCCAGAGACTACAAACCTCACTCAAGGAAAAAGATCTTGGGGTGAGTATAACACCAGGCACATCTCCGGAAGCGCACATCAACCAAATAACTACTGCAGCATATGGGCGCCTAGCAAACCTCAGAACAGCATTCCGACATCTTAATAAGGAATCATTCAGGACCCTGTACACCGTGTATGTTAGGCCCATATTGGAGTATGCGGCACCAGTTTGGAACCCACACCTAGCCAAGCACGTGAAGAAACTAGAGAAAGTGCAAAGGTTTGCAACAAGACTAGTCCCAGAGCTAAGAGGTATGTCCTACGAGGAGAGGTTAAGGGAAATCAACCTGACGACATTGGAGGACAGGAGAGATAGGGGGGACATGATAACGACATACAAAATACTGAGAGGAATTGACAAGGTGGACAAAGACAGGATGTTCCAGAGATTGGACACAATAACAAGGGGACACAGTTGGAAGCTGAAGACACAGATGAATCACAGGGATGTTAGGAAGTATTTCTTCAGCCACAGAGTAGTCAGTAAGTGGAATAGTTTGGGAAGCGATGTAGTGGAGGCAGGATCCATACATAGCTTTAAGCAGAGGTATGATAAAGCTCACGGCTCAGGGAGAGTGACCTAGTAGCAATCAGTGAAGAGGCGGGGCCAGGAGCTCGGACTCGACCCCCGCAACCTCAACTAGGTGAGTACAACTAGGTGAGTACAACTAGGTGAGTACTGAGGTTCAAACAACAATCACTAACGAGAAATAAAGAGAAAATCTGAGGTTTCTACCACTATTTAATCCAATTTAACTTAACCTAACCTAACCTAACCTAACCTAACCTAACCTAAGCTAACCTAACCTAACCTAACCTAACCTAACCTAACATAACCTAACCTAACCTAAGCTAACCTAACCTAACCTAACCTAACCTAACCTAACCTAACATAACCTAAGCTAACCTAACCTAACCTAACCTAACCTAAGCTAACCTAACCTAACCTAACCTAACCTAACCTAAACTAACCTAACCTAACCTAACCTAACCTAACCTAACCTAAGCTAACCTAACCTAACCTAACCTAACCTAATCTAACCTAAGCTAACCTAACCTAACCTAACCTAACCTAACCTAACCTAACCTAACCTAAGCTAACCTAACCTAACCTAACCTAACCTAACCTAAGCTAAAATAACTTAACCTAACCTAACCTAACTTAACCTAACCTAACCTAACCTAACCTAACCTAACCTAACCTAACTCAACCTAACCTAACCTAACCTAACCTACCAACCTAAGCTAAAATAACTTAACCTAACCTAACCTAACTTAACCTAACCTAACCTAACCTAACCTAACCTAACCTAACCTAAGCTAACCTAACCTAACCTAACCTAACCTAACCTAACCTAACCTAACCTAAGCTAAAATAACTTAACCTAACCTAACCTAACCTAACCTAACCTAACCTAACCTAACCTAACCTAACCTAAAATAACTTAACCTAACCTAACCTACCTATCCTACCCTATCATTCCCTATCTTAACTTTGCTAAGCAAAGTGAGAAAGACGAAATATTTAAGTGTCTTAAGTAAGAATGGCAACTAATAGAATTATCAATACTAGAATGATCAATAACAGAATGATCGATAACAGAATGATCGATAACAGAATGATCGGTAGCAGAATTGTCAATAATAATATGATCAATAATGAAATGATCAATAATGAAATGATCAATGTTGGAATGACCAATAATGGAATTATCAATAATGGAATTATCGATAATGGAATGATTAATAATGGAATGATCAATAATGAAATTATCAATATTGGAATGATCAGTAATGGAATGATCAATAATGCAGTGATCAACAATAGACTAATCAGTAATAGAGCGATAAATGATCAATAATAGAATGATCAATAACTGAATGATCAGTAATATAAGGATCAATAATAGAATGATCAATATTATTATAATCAATAATAGAATGATCTGTAATATAAGGATCAATAATAGAATGATCAATAATAGAAGGATCAATAACAGAATGATCAATATCAGAAGGATCAATAATAGAATGATCAATAACAGTGTTAAATGGAGTCGGTTACAGTACCATCACCAACATTACAATCGACAGTACTAGCGCCAACAGTACTGTCGCCAACAATGTAATCGCCAGCGATATAATCGCCAATAATATTGTCACCAACAGTATTGTCCCCAACGCTAGTCACCAACAGTCTAATCACCAACGGCACAATCACCAACAACATTGTCACTGACAGAACAATCACTAACAGTTCAATCATCAGCGTTATAACCACCAACAGTACAATCCTCAACACCATAGTCACCAACAGTACGATCACCAACAGTACAATCTCCGACATTATAATCCCCAGTAGTCCATTCACCATCAGTAGAATCCCCAACAGAATAGTCACCAACAGTAGAATCCCCAGCAGTATGGTCACCAACAGTACAATCACCAATAGTATAATAACCAATAGTACAATCCCCAACAGTACAATATCCATATGTATAATCCCCAACAGTACAATAACCAACAATACAACCAACAACAGAACAATCACCACCAGTACAATCACTAACAGTAATTCGTCAACAGTATGCTGTTGTGGCTTAGCGCTTCTTTTTGATTATAATCGTCAACAGTATAATTAACAACAGTACAATCCCCAACAGTACAAACCCCACCAGTACAATCCCAACAGTACAATCATCAACAGTACAATCACCAACAATACAATAATTAACAGTACAATCACAATAATGTAATCACCAACAGTACAATCACCAACAGTACAATCACTAACAGTACAATCATCAACGGTATAATCATGAACAGTATAATTCCCAACAGTATAATCACCAACACTACAATAACCAGCAGTACAATCCGCAACAATATAATCACAAAAAGTACAATCCGCAACAGTACAATCCCCAACAGTACAATCAACAGCAACATTTTCACCAACATACAATTGCCCTGGACTTCAATCCATTTTGACATCTATATTTTTTCCCATCTTAGCATATACAAGTTGTGGGTCGGTCTGAAAGAACCAGCAACATCGTATTATAATTTCCTATAATAAATTGGCCATGAAAAAATAAAAATATAATAAAATGGAACTGATTTTTTTTTTTTTGGAGAGAGTCGGAGTGCTCAGTGTTTTTGCGTCAAGTCTAAAATGATTTAAGTTTGTGTGATGTGTCTGTGGTGTCCATTACTGCAAGAGCATCACCGAGGCTTCCGGTAGATCCTCACCAGAGCTTCGTCTTCAAGGTTCAGAGAGTTCCTTGAACTGACCCTGAATGCCTTCCATCCCTTCCTCCTTCTTCTACATGTGTTGTATAATCCCTACTGGTTTAGCGCTCCCCATAATAATAATAATAATAATAATAATAATAATAATAATAATAATTTAAAGTCAAGAATCTGAGGAGAGCCAGGACAACGGCTGTCCTTAGGAAAACAAGGTTTATCTCGGAGGCTTCGGCGAGCATTTCGTAAATCAGAAAAGGAAATTTGAAGACATTTCGTCCATGACCGTTACTGAGGTCTGAAAGGAGCGAAACGTCGTCTAGTTTTTATTTCCAACTTGTGGATTAATTGCCAACGGTTCCAGCCGCGGCTGTGACTTTCTCTTCTCAGATACAATGTTTATCACGGCTATCATTCTTTCAGCGACTCACAGGACCAAGTTGTCATCCTCTTTAGGACCTACTAAATTGATCTCTGGGTATCTACATGTTATTGCGCTACTGTCCACAGAATTGATACGGGGGTGCACAATAAACTACCCACTTCAGTGGCAAAATCTAAAATATAATCTGGACAGAGGTAAATACGGACATAGAATGGATGATTGATCAGCGCGGCCGGACGCTGTAACGCCTGGACCATTGACAACAAGAAATCATTGGCCTGCATGCAGATGTACCAAAGTACTGAACACTTACTTGCAAACCGTGGATCTGAGGTGGAAGTCCCATACCAAGATGCGGAGGCGGGGGCGGCGTAGTGGGACAGGTCAGTGTTGCAGTACTGGTACGTCGAGTGAGTTCCGAACTGCGCCATGTGTGCCATGGGGCTCATACCGTACGGGTTCTGCATGGCGGCGGCGAAGTCGTTAACGGAGGCCGAAGCGGCAATTCCTGAGGCAGCGAAGGTGCTGCTGCTGGTGCTGCTGCTGCCACTGGAGCCCCGCCCTGCTGCTGCTGCTGCTGCGGCTGCTGCTGCTGCTGCCACGTCCACAGTAGAGGCCAGGGTGTCCAGAGGGCTCAGCAGGGAGGTGACGGAGAAGGGCTGGTTCGTCCTGGGGCTCCCGCTCATGACCTAATGCCCCACCATGGCCCTCACTGTGGCCCTCACCACTGTGTGGCCCTACCACTGTGGCCCTACCACTGTGACCCTAATCACCGTGGTCCTTGAGTGACACTCGCAGCAAGTTACACCTCCACTTGCGACACTATCACCCTTAGCTTCTTGTTACCCTTCAACGCGTCGTTGATATACTCATACGTTGTTTAACAACTAATAAAATCGTGGCACTTGTCAATCGTCGGTCAAGCGGTAAACACTGGCGGCGTAGCGCGTAAGTCCTGCTCAAGAGGAGCGCATAAGAATCCCCCTGAGGTGCGTAACAAAAGATCTTGAGGGAGTCTCGGTATTGTAAAAGTCAAGCGTCACCTTGAGGTCAATCGATGACTAGAGACCTGGCAGGAGGGGCCGTCGAACCTCCTCATTGGCGCTGAAGATATGGATCACAGACTCGATGGCACTCTTGAGTCACCTTCAGGTCAAGAGTTACACTGGCGGCACTAGGGATAAAAGTGTGTGCTCATAAGAGCCTGGCACCTGATCACTTGTTCTTGCCCGCGGCGGAGGCAGCTTGCGGCTGCTGGTTTCTTGTAGCATGCGGCAGCTCTTGTGGTTTTTACTGGAGTGCTCGTTACAGTTAATGCTGTGTGAGAAGCAGCAAATGAGCTTAGATCTGGCTTCCAGTAATATGATAGCACTGGCTTGATAGCGAGTGGAGATTGGAGAGCACTCTGAGCCTTCCGACATTTTCCTAACCAAGCTCAACTTTACATCTTGCCATCTGGGGGCGGGGCGATTGGGCTGGCCAGCCATTGAGCGCGCGTAATTTCCCACGAGGGCGGGTTTTGGGCCGGCGTCAACCAATGAAAACCTGTCAAGCTCCGTCAAAGTCAAATCCCACCAATCAATAGCTGAGGCGGAAACACTTAATATGATTGGCTGGTCTCGAGTGCCTCCCCACTTGAGATTGGTCCATAGATTTGGAATATTTGTGAACTCACTGCGGGGTGGCTATGAGAAATAACAATGAGAGGAAAAAGAATGAATACTAAACTGAAAAGAGACTGTTTTACAGACGAAAAGAGCAGAATAGAGAGAGACGTTGGGCTGTACATTAATATTACATTACAGACAGTCGACCATGTTAGGGGGGGGCGCTAAATTAACAACCCCTTTGTCCCCCTTCAACCATCTCCCGCACCCTAGCTTTCCCTGCGGCTGCTACCTCGCCGCCGCCGCCGCCGCCGCCACCGGCCGCAGCAGCAGTGGCGTATATTGCCGCCGTAATAACGGGTGAAGGTGGTACAGGAGGCCCAGCAGGGGCAGTGCTGTGACAAAGGAGGCAGTGGAGCGGCCACCTCCACCGTTACCTCAACCTTCCTCCCCCATGAAGGTCCTGCTGCTGCTGCTGCTGCTGTTGCTGATGCTGCTGCTGCTGCTGCGGTGAGAGAAAATGCTTCCCTGGTGACCTTTTTTGGACCATTACTGGTGAATACCATGATCTTTGTCCTGGCGACCCCCTGCCTCTGTCTCCTCCCAGCCCCTGCTTCTTTCCTGTCCCTCTGCCTCTGCCTTCTCTTTGCCCCTGCTTTTCCCCTTCTCCTGCATCCTCCTGCCCCTGTTTTTTCCTTGTCTCTGCCTCCTCCCTGCTCCTGCTTCCACCCCCCCCCCAGCACCTTTCTCTTCCTGGTCCCTTCCCTCTAACTGCTCCTCTGCCTTGCTGCTACTCTTGCTATTTCATCTCCTCTCCTTTCTCTTCCGTCTGCTTTTCTCCTTTCCTTTCTTTTCCTTTCCTCTCTCTTGTCTATACTCTTTCATCTACCTCTTCCTTCCTTTCCCCTCTCCTCTTCTACCCTTGCCTTCACTTCCTCTCTCATTGCTTGTCTGACGTCTCTCCTTCCTTCCTCCCTCCTGTAGAAACGTTACTTTCCCATGCCCTTCCTTCCCTCCCCCCCTTCCTTCCCCTCCTTCACTTCACCATCGATTACTTTCTTCACCCTCCTCATGCATCTCCTCTCTCTCTCTCTCTCTCTCCTCTCTCTCTCTCTCTCTCTCTCTCGCTTCTTTCCCGTTTCAACTTCCCTCTTTTCCCTTATTCTGTCTCTCTTCTTTCATTTTTTTTCTTCATTCACTTTCCCTCTCTTCATCTTCCTCCCTCTCTTCACCCTCTCTCTGTCATTCCCTTCACCTCGTTCCCTCCCTTCAGTCCCCTCCCTTCACCTTCCTCCCTCCACCTCCCTCCCTCCTTTAACTCTCCATCCCTCCCTCCCTTCCTTCACCTTTCTCACTTTACTCTTCCTCTCTCCCTCCCTTCACCTCCCTCCCTCCCTTCACTTTCCCTCCCTACCTTCATCTTCCTTCCTCCCTTCACTCTACCTCCCGTCTCTTCCTTCACTCTCCCTCCTTCCCTTCACTCCCCCTTCCTTCATTGTCCCCTCCCTTTCTCCAATCTTCCTAGCTCACTTAGTTCACTCTCCCTCTCCTCACTCCTCCCTTCCTTTCTCTCTCTCTCTCCCTTCCCTTCATCCTCACTCCCCTCCTTTCCTTCGCTTTCCCTCTCCACTCCCTTTACTCTATCTCCCTTCCGTCCCTTCCTCCCTCCCTTCCTTTCACTCCTTCCTTTTATTCACTCTCTACCTTCATTCTCCAACCCTTCCCTCCCTCCCTCTCTTCACTCCTCCTTGTAACTCTTCCTTCGTTCTCAAGTAATTATTCTCTCTCAGTTCTCTGTCTATTATTACATTTCTGTCCAACTTTATTAACCTCTGACTCATTACACATCTTTACTACGCTTCCCATACATGTTTATTATTCTTTTACTCGGAGAGTACTCCGGGGGTCAACGCCCCCGCGGCCCGGTCCATCACCAGGCCTCGCGGTGGATCAGGGTCTGATCAACCTGGCTGTTACTGCTGGCCCCACGTAGTCCACGTATGAACCACAGCCCGGCTGGTCAGGAACTGACTTTGGAAACCTATCCCTTTCCCTGTTGAAGACAGCTAATGCTCTATTGGTAACCCCTCTCATGTATGATGGGAGGCTGTTGAACAGTCTTGGGGCCCCTGACACTTATTGTTTCGTCTCTCAGTGTACACTTGGCATCCCTGGGAAGATATTATTTCGTCTGCTGATCCTTTTACCTTCGCATAACGTGATTTCTGTGTCTGTTATGGAACCAATCCCACTAAGAATTTCCAGGTGGGAATTATGATGTATTTTTCTCTTCCTGCGTTCAAACGTTCCCAGTAATTAAGGTACTTGACTGAACTGATACATGCTATGAAGGTTCTCTGTACGTTCTCTAGATCTGTAATTCCACCTGCCTTAAAAGGATCTGATAGTGTACGGTAGTATTCCACACTAGAGAGAACAAGTGACTTAAAGAGGATCATCATTAGCTTAACATCCCTTGTTGAGAACGTTCTCGTTATTCATCCTATCATTTTCCTTGTGGTTATGATAATAACACCATAGTAGTCCTTGAAGGCGAGATCCACTGATATTATCACTCCTAAGTTCTTCACGCTGGTTTTTCGCTCTAGTGAATACTTAGAATTTGTTTTATACTCCGTTCTAAGTTTTATTTCCATAAAGTTTCAGTAACGCAGAAACTGCTGTTTCTTCTTATTGATCATTGTATTGTTGTTGTTGTTTCTGCGGCTCACTGGAAGACTTGGTTTATATCCACCTGGGGATTTACGGTGCTTTCAGTGGATGTAACTCTCAGGCAGATTTACGGTGCTTTCAGTGGATGTAATTCTCAGGCAGATTTACGGTGCTTTCAGTGGATGTAATTCTCAGGCAGATTTACGGTGCTTTCAGTGGATGTAACTCTCAGGCAGATTTACGGTGCTTTCAGTGGATGTAACTCTCAGGCAGATTTACGGTGCTTTCAGTGGATGTAACTCTCAGGCAGATTTACGGTGCTTTCAGTGGATGTAACTCTCAGGCAGATTTACGGTGCTTTCAGTGGATGTAACTCTCAGGCAGATTTACGGTGCTTTCAGTGGATGTAACTCTCAGGCAGATTTACGGTGCTTTCAGTGGATGTAACTCTCAGGCAGATTTACGGTGCTTTCAGTGGATGTAACTCTCAGGCAGATTTACGGTGCTTTCAGTGGATGTAACTCTCAGGCAGATTTACGGTGCTTTCAGTGGATGTAACTCTCAGGCAGATTTACGGTGCTTTCAGTGGATGTAACTCTCAGGCAGATTTACGGTGCTTTCAGTGGATGTAACTCTCAGGCAGATTTACGGTGCTTTCAGTGGATGTAACTCTCAGGCAGATTTTAGTATCGTTTGCAAATGATGATGAAGTTTGTGTCTGTCATATATAAGGATAAGGAAATGGATGTGGGAAGAGTAGTGTGTCTTGGGGGGGGGGGCAAAACTTTTCACTGTGGTAGCCTCTGACTTAACTCTGTTTACTATTACGCTTTCATTCTATTACCTGGAGTATACCTGGAGGAGGTTTCGGGGGTCAACGCCCCCGCGGCCCGGTCTATGACCAGGCCTTGGTTAGAAAATTAAAATTTCATCTACCCACTTTTCCAGTTATTCTTTTTGCAAGCATTCTATGCTCTATTACACCATGATCATATTTGTCTAAGGCTTTTGTAAAGCCTGTGTCCTCCAGGGCATCCAAGTCCACATCATAGTGGTCTAGTAGCTGTGAGAGGCAGGAGCGACCTGCCAACTTTCTGGAGTGAGGTTACATCCGTTGTTTTTAACGACCCAACTGTTTGGGCACCGTCTCTGTGAAATATTTAAGGCACGTGATTTAAGTTTCTAGCAGTTCTTGATGAATACTGGTTCCCTGAGTCTGGACCAGTCAACATGCATGGGCATGGTATCCATGGCTTTATCAAAGTCCAGTGGTGTAAGGGTTAAGTCAGAAATTTTGGAAAAATTTATAAGGGTTTGAGTCTCCTTCACGGAATTCGTTCAGATTGTCGACCTATAGCTCGATTAACGGCTCACTAAACACAGTCAATTTAGACCTCAGTACCTCCTCATTTCATTGCTGCCAATACTATAAGTTCCGAAACACGGATCCGACCCCGTGATTGCAAAGAATGGAACTCTGCGCTACTAGAAGCATTCTCGATGCACATCCACTAAGGAAAAAGAAGAGAAGTTGCAAACTAGGAAGAGAGAGAAGCTCCCTCTAAAGTTGAAGACAAAGAATCACAGAGTCTCTTAAGGCTGCTGGAAGTGCGGAAAGAAGCACTGACCATTGAAACAGATGAATGATTCATACAATCTAGGATAGACAGAGTGCCAAATCCATTGCAAAAAAAGCATATGCAGTATCGGCCTTGATACCGGTTAAGGGTTCGTGTTCCAAGGAATTTGAGCTACCCCTCTCTTTCCTTGGATTGAATCGTCTTCCCCCATTCCTTCTCTCAAGCGCCGAAGGGCCCATACGGGTTGAGCGCCTGCTCTTCAGAATATACTTGATGCCAGTTTTTTGTTGGAGTTTTTTATTGTTTTGCTTTTGTTGCTCTTACTAGCGGTAATGAGGGTGTTTTTGTTGTTGCTGTTGTTACTTTTGTGTTTGTTACTGTTGTTGCTGTTGTTACTTTTGTGTTTGTTGCTGTTGTTGTTATTGTTGCTGTTGTGTTTGTTGCTGTTGTTGCTATTATGTTTGTTGCTGTTGTGTTTGTTGCTGTTGTTGCTATTGTGTTTGTTGCTGTTGTTATTTTTGTGTTTATTGT